AACCATATGATCCTCTCAATAGATGCAGAAAAAGCATTTGACAAAATTCAACACCCACTCATGGAAAATAAAACCCTGCAAAAAATGGAATAGATTGTTTATATCTCATCTTAATAAAAGCCATCTATGAAAATCCAACAGTCAACATCCTATTAAATGGCCAAAAACTGAAACTTTCACATTAAAATCAGGAACAAGGCCAGGATGCCCACTATCACCCATCCTCTTCAATATAGTTCTGGAAACATTATCCAGAGCAATTAGAGAAGAAGAAGAATTTAAAGCAATAAATATAGGAAAGGAAGAAGTTAAACTGTCATTACTTGATGACAATATGATACTCTACATTGAAGACCCAAAAACTCCAAAAAAGACTTCTAGACTTAATTGACACTTTTAGCAGAGTAACTGGATATGAGGTCAATGACCCAAAATCAATTGCTTTCTTGTACACAAATAACAGATTCACTGAGAGAGAAATTAGGGAAACAATTCATTTCACAAAAGCATCAAAAAAAAAAGATATAAGAAGTATCTAGGAATCAATCTAATAAAAGAAGCAAAAGACCTCTACACTGAAAACTACAGTACTCTGTAAAAAGAGATCGAAGAGGATGAAAGAAAATGGAAAGTTATCCCCTGTTCCTGAGTAGGAAGAATCAACATAGTGAAAATGGCCATACTACCAAAATTGCTATACAGATTCAATGCATTGCCAACTGAAATTCCAACACTATATTTCACAGAACTAGAAAAAAAATCTAAAAATATATTTGGACCATAAGAGACCTAGAATAGGAAAAGACATACTAGGCAACAGACACATGACAGCGGGTATAACAATTCCAATGTGAAACTATACCACAAAGCCTCTGTGATAAAAACAGCATGATACTGGCAAAGAAACAGACCTGGGGATCAGTGGAACAGATTGGAAGACACAAAAGCAACTCCAGATGTGCTCTGCTACATCTTCTTTGACAAAGGAGCTGACCATTCTCACTGGAGGAAAGATAGTCTCTTTAATAAATGGTGTTATAAAAACTGGATTTCAACCTGCCAAGGATTAAAACTGGACTCTTACCTTTCACCATGCACTAAATTAAAATCCAAGTGGATTAAAGATCTAAAAATTAAAACAAAAACACTAATTTTGCTGGAAGATAAGTTAGGGGCAAACTCTTAAAGACATTGGCATAGGAGACGAATTTAAGAACAAATACTCAGTAGCACGGGAACTAGCACAAAGAAGCAACACCTGGGGTCTCATCATATTAAGAAGCTGCTGCACAGCAAAAAAAACCATGAACAGAACTAAAAGGCAACCTACAATGTGGGTAAAAATTTTGCCAGCTGTTCCTCAGACAAAGGACTGTTAATTAGAATATATACAGAACTCAAAACAAAAAGCTCCCTAGATATAAAGACCCAATTCAAAAATGAGCATCTGAAATGAACACACATCTCAGAAAAAGATGTAAAAGCAGCAAGTAAATATATGAAAAAATGTTTCACATCACTGGTCATTTGAGAGATGCAGATGAAAATAACACTGAGATTCTACCTCACCCCACAAAGAATGGCTTCTATAAAGAAATCAAACAATATCAAATGTTGGCAGGGATTTGGGCAGAAAGGAACCCTTCTCCATTGTTGGTGGGAGAGCAGCCTGGTGCACCACTATTGAAATCAATATGGAGATACCTCAAAGAGATGGGGCTAGAGGTTCCATTTGACCCAGCCATTCCCCTGCTGGGTATCTTTCCAAAAGAATTAAAATAATCATATCACAGTGATATATGCACCCCTATGTTTATAACGGCACAGTTTGTAATAGCTAAAACTTGGAATCAGCCTAGTTGCCCATCATTTGGAAAATGGATAGAGAAGATGTGGTTTTTCTATAAAATGGAATACTACTCAGCCATCAAGAATGAGAAATTAGATTCATTCATAGGAAAATGGATATATATTGAGGATATATTCCAAAGTGAGATAAATAATCCACACATGTATAAATACTGAATAGTTTCTCTGGTGTGAATAAACAATAATAGTACATAAGATCCTAATGAGATGATTGACTGTGTAAAATAGGAAAAAAAGGGCTAAAAGTATGGAAATTGAGAAGGGTAGGGGAAAGGTAATAAGGGAAAAGAAAGAAATAGAAAATGAAAAAGTGGAAATAAAGTGTTTGTAAATGTGGAAAGGAGGAGGGGGTGAAGGGAGTGCAGGGCCAAGGGGAAAAAATGAGAACCAAGACCAGTCATGTAAAGGTATAGGATCCCAGGTCGCAATAATAAATGCAACTGTACTGTATACCTAAAATATTGCAATAAACTAAAAAATTACACAC